GGGGGGGCACTTTTTTTCTCCAATACTCAAGATAAGGATTAGAGGGCTCACGACACGTAATCGACTCATTTAAAGTAGACTTCTGATAAATATTGGTGTAATGGGTGAGAAACCCTGAAACGTTTTCACATTTCCGCCTGCCATGACCCAAAGGGAACGGTCCTGGACCAGGAGAAAGGACACCTCCGCAAAGGGCTAAGGGTGCAGGAGCTCCAGGGTGGATCACCTGTGCAGAAAAGTGGATGGGATGTGGGCAGGTAGTGTGGAATGTAGGACATCCACCGGTCCTTATCAAAAGTACGCTCGAAATGAGTCGTTCACTTATTATCTTATCCGTAGTGTTCGATAGCCCAAAGAACTGCTCTCTAGTACTACGGATAAGATAGCAATGGAGTGGCCCCCCCCCGAACTGGAGTTTCACCGTTCGTCCTATTCGCGATTAATTGGAAATTCCTTGTCGTGCCCCCTTCTCGCCTTCTGCAGACGTTATTCTGTTCACCATTCACCAGTCGTACTCCGTTTTTTACGTTATTTAGGTGCCCTCCACCTTCTAAATGTCACTGCCAGAAAGGCAATCGTGCAAAGACTTTTCAAGGTACGTGGAGTGGGAAAAGTTTGACGGCGCACGTCTGACAGCAGGTTAGACAAGCATGTTGATAACATTTCGTAGTAGCTTCTCACTGTTAACTGTTTGCAGATGTGCGAGAGAAATGTGGATCGACCAATTTCTAGCTATCCACATGATTCCTTCACAGCAAGGACCACAGGTATGGGAGAATGATTTCTCGCTTACTTTCCTGTTTCAGACGGTTCTTTTCAGTTCTAAGGGTGATCATGGTCCAGGAAGTCGTGTCTTGATGCTGCAGAAGTGGGTCGACATCGTCGAGGAAGATCGGGTCCAGTCAGTCCGTGTTTTTGCTGTGTCCCAGGTGAGTGTTAGTCCGTGTCGGTCCGTGTTCTTCCTTTTGTCGGTGGCTGTACTCCCCCACGTCCGTACAAGCCCTTCCGTCTGCATCTGTTTGTGCGTATCCTTCTGCGTGCTGTCCGTCCCCTCCCTCCCGCCCCCGTCCGCCTGTCTGTGCTCTTCTGTCTGTATACGCCCAAGTCTGTCTGTCCGTTCGCGTCTGGACACATCTGCGCCCGACTGCCCATCTGTGTCCGCCGGTCTACCTGAAAAGCTGCGCGTTCCTCGGCGCGTCTACCTTTCTATCCTTTCTGTCTGTTTTCATTGATATGTTGTTATATTGTCTAGAAAACTCGAAACGAAATTGCTGCTTTTAAAGAATGTCGTAATTTTCGAAAAAGGATGTGAGAGAGTGAAAGGACACAAGTGCGAAGAGTAGGAAAAAAGGAGGGCTGAGGATCGGAGAAAGAGAGGGTGTCTGTTTCTATTCGCCTGCTTATTGCAGTCGTGTAAGCAGGGTCAGCCCTCCTTACGCACTTTTCGAAAGAGGGAGCCGCATTTCGGAGTTGAGAGGTTAACCATATTTGCTTTGTTTGTTACAGTTGAAAAATGGGCAAAACTGGAAGATTTCCTGCTATTTTGGACATATTCCCCGCCCCACCCCTCCCGATTGAAAGAACAAGTGGGCGGGTCTGGACCTTGTCAGTAGTCTTGGGAATCGACAAAATCTAACAGCGAAAGGTGATGTTCGGTTAGAGGCATAAGGCTGGTGGTGGGGTGCCGTATCGAGGAAAATTTTCGGCGATCTCTCTCTTAAGGGCGAATCGCAGAAATTTTGGGAAAGTGCGAATAGACGGTTGATCCTGCTTGTAAGTGCTTAGGGAAGTGATGATCGCTTAACTAATACTTGCCTCTACAGTTTTAGCGCAGTTTTTCACAGGGTTTATGCCTGGACTTAATCTATCTGCTTCTAAGCTCAAGCTGATCACAGGTGGGGGTGAATGAGGTATGGGGGTAATGACCACCCAAAATGGAGGGCGGGAAAACGATAGCGGTGACTAGTGCCAGGAAATGTTCCGCGTTAGTCGATTAACTTTTTTGTTTCATCGTTATTGGAGTCAGTCTACACCGGTCTACAAGCTTGTGCAGATTTGGGGGTCAATATTTATTATACGGCAATCGACGAACAATTGCAAATGTGAGATCAAAAGACGACGAAGAAATGTGTAGGAGGCGTTGTGTTTCCGAAGCAGCAATTTTTTGTTGAGAGTTTTGGACAGTGGTGCCAACAGAGGGATGAATATAGCCGGGAGGGGTAGATAGGTAGGCAGGCCGGTAGACATGCGGTCGAGACACAGATGGAAAAGAGCGGACGGGCCAGATCCGGATGGGACAAGGAGGCAGGGACGTATTTACAGGCAGAGGAGGTGTAGTGTACACGAGAGATAGGAGGAGAGGGCAC